AGAGAACCAGGGTATTCTGGAATTCTCCAAGCTCTGTTTGACTCACTCACTCACATGTTTATTTGTCACCTGTTTTTCATTTTGTTAGAATGGGGAGAGTGCATATTTCTGTGGTTCTCCTTCAAAGGTGCCGACTTCCCCAACCTCTGGTGCCTTCCAGATGTGTTGGCGTATGCCTCCCACTCTTCCAAACAGAACAGCTATCTCAAGGGCAACAGGTTGGGGAAAGTTTCAGTGGACTTCTTTCGGCTCATATTCTGATGCCCAAACTGATATTCCATCCTGTAACTCCTCATTTAGTGGCTCTCTCCTCCCTGAATAGAATAACAGATGAGCCAACTGCTGTAAGCACAAATATTATGATGGAAAGAGTCATATTAGGAAGATCTGCTATTTTTGCTCTTTTAAGACCTGGTCCATATGTGATATATGACCCATGGAATGAGCTCTCAAAGGAATTCACAAATCCCAGCACCACCATCTGCTTTCCCTTTCCATTACTGTATGTTTTTAATTGAAACTTCTTTCATAAATCTTGTTGAAGAGTACGACTGCAGGGTGCATTATTCCCCCATGATAGCAGCAAGCAGTTCATACCTCAGAGCCAAACACCTTAACACCCTTGCAAAGCACTGACAAAGGCAGGGGTGGAAAGACTGGCATATTTGCTAGCATGGGGGAGAGATTACCTTGTCTTGGATCCTAAAATAAATTAAGTTAAGGAAGTTCATTGAAGGGAGGTTCCTGTACACCTTCTGCCCCGGTAGCCACCTGTACTCCCCCAGAAACTCTTGCTAGAGAGTCTTCCTGAGCAATATAGAAACAGAGCGAGTCAGAAGGGATCTTCCGGGCCATTTAGTCTGACCCCTGGCTGTAGCTGGCTCTGCTCACAACATGCCTAGCATGTGCCTGTCTAGCCTATCCTTGAACACCCTCACCGATGGGGCCTCAACCACCTCCCGTGGAAGCCCATTCCATATCGTCAGGGTCCTAATTGTCAAGAAGTACTTCCTGGCATCCACCCTAAATCTTGGTTCCCTGAGCTTTGCTCCACTGAAGCAGGTCCTGCCCTCCTCTGCAGGGGAGAACAGGTCTCTACCCACCTCCGTGTGACACCTCCTCACATACCTATATGTGGCCAACAGATCCCCTCAAAGTCTCCTCTTCTACAGGCTGAAAAGACCCAGTTCCCTCAGTCTCACTTCACATGGCTTTCCTTGCAATCCAGCCACCATCCTGTGGCCCTGCACTGCACTGACTCTAACCTGGCTATATCCTTCCTGTAACAAGGGGCCCAGAACTGAATATAGTACTCCAGCTGCGGGCACACCAGAGTTGTATAGAGTGGTAGTAATACCTCTCTCGAACTAGAAGCCACGGTTCCAGCTATGCAACCAAGGGTGGCGTTCACCCTCTTGACCACCATGTCACACTGCTGACATGTTTGGCCTGCACTCAACCAGCACCCCGAGATCCCTTTCACATGTGTTGCTCTCCAGCCACATCCCCTAACCTGTACTTATGACACCCATTCCTATGCCCCAAGTGCAAGAAGTTGCACTTACCCACATTGAACACCATCCTGTTGCCTCCTGCCCACTTCCATAGTCTGTTCAGATCCTTCTGGATCTGGAGTACCTGCTCCTCAGTTGTGGCAAAGAGGGATTCCTGGAGACAAGGGACTCATTCCACAACTCCATCAATGTTCACTAAATTTGAAGCTATTCTCCCTTCTTCCAGGAGTCTATTTTACACTACTTTGTTCAGGAAGGCTTTTGCTCTGGAGAGGCTTTTCAGGGAGAAAAAATAGGAGAAGGGGATGAGAAGTACTCCTTCCATGGACTATATTGAACAAATTTCAATAAATGTTGAAATATTAAAATATTTCAGGGTTTGAATTTTTATTCATAACTTAACAAAATAAAAATGCCTTTCCTTTTGCTAGTACTTTTTTTTAAAGATGGTGTGTCTGCACATATAAACACAGAAGTCTGCATGTTCAGGGTATCTGTCGTTTTGAGGCACCATCATACCCCTTGCTCACTTCAATGGGACGTGCTTCCTAAACCCACAGGCATGTTAGCAGTACCAACACAGAGCTGTAGATACTGGCATTTCACTATATCAGCCTTCCCCAGCTCAGGGCGGTCCAGATGTTTTAGATTATGGCTTCTATCAAGAGATGTACAAGAATTTAGCTCCAGTTCCAATCACCCAATGTGCTCCCTTGTGAATACAAGTGCATTTTTTTCTGAAAATTTTTCACCTACCTGAATGTACAACCACATTTGAAAAAAATGCACACTTGAAATTTACTTCATTAAATAATGCATTTTCACAAACATGAACTTCTTAGGCAAACAAGTCAGTTTTTGTAGGCTGGTGGTATAAGATGTATATATCAGAGCTCCTTTGCCCACAGAAAATTCTGAGGTTGTTCGATATTGTTTATTTCAATAATGGAAACACATGAATAGCTGAAAATTGGTTTTTACATTGCTGGTTTTCCAATGCGTTTACTGTACAGAATTCTTAAAATGTACCATCTGGAATTACTAAAGCAGACTATTCAGATTAAAGCAAACAGCTCCTATCCAAAGATATGTAGAAGTGCCCCCTTTTTCATTCTTGGTCTTCGTTGGCTTAGAGAAACCAGTGAACACTGCCTTTAGGGGTTTTTTGTATTTGTATTTTAAATTATTATGTATCAGATATCAAAGCACTCTTGATAAAAATGGCCTGGGATTCTTAACCGAATAAATAAACCACAAGGTTCAGCTTATGAGCACCCCTGTGATTTATGACCCAGTCGTTTGGCTTTATGCTGTTCTTACACCCTGGGAGATGGGATCCTGTAGAAGGAATAACCCACTGCCCTCCTCAGCAACCTGCTTGCATTGCCTTATATAGAAACAGCTTGTCCCTCAAACGGCAGCATTTCTTGAGAAAGCTGACTCCTAGTTGTGCAGTTAATTCTGATGAAAGATTCACTGATCGATCCCAAACCAACTAAGCTGGTGGCAAGGACATCTTCAATGAGAGGCAGCAGTGACAGGGCTATGTCATGATCCACAGGGCAGCTATCCTACAAGGGTAATCTGACGGAATTCGGGACCTGGAGATTAAGGGAGCCTCTGAGTCAGCAGGGCTGGCCTAAGCTACTTTGCCGACTGTGGCAGACCAGCAAATAGTGTCCCCATACCACTTATTTTATTTATTTATTTATTTATTTATTTATTTATTTTCCGATTTATATCCTGCCTTTTTCCTACAAAGTGCTCAAGGCAGCTTACATCATTCTCCTCCTCCATCTTATCCCCACAACAACAACCCTGTGGGATATGTTGGGCTGAGAGTCTCTGACTGGCCCAAAGTCACCCAGTTGGCTCCATGGCCGAGCGGGGACTCGAACCCAGATCGCCTGAGTCCCAGTCCCATGCTCTTAACCACTACACCACACTGGCTCTCACTACACCACACTGGCTCTCACACTGGCACTTAGAGGTGGATAGTAGGTACCTAAGGTCAATCAGTGCCTGAGAGAAAATTCCGCAAATACCTTGCCCTGCTGTTACAAATACAGTCACAATAAATTGACTAACCAAAGAGAAATGTCTCTTTAAGGACAGCCAAATGAGCTGCTTGAGGCAGCTGCCCTACTCTGCCTAATGGTAGGGCTGGGCCAGGGATGGTCACATAGGCTAGAACAGGTCAAAGCATGGCCAGGCCATTGGTAGTGAGGATCAATTAGCCAGGAGCAGGGACATTTATTTATTTATTTAAAACATTTCTATGCTGCCCCATCGCAACAAAGCCTCGGGGCGGCTCACAAAGGATACATAAATACATAAATAATAACAATATAACAATTTTAAAGAATTGTTTAAAAACCCCCGGTGCATTCTCGGCTAAAAATTTAAAAATCCTATTAATTTGAATAATTTAACAATTAAAATAAGTTTTAAAAAAAAGGTCTTAGCCTATGCATGCAGAAGGTTCCTGGTATGCTCCCTAAAAGTCTTGAGTTGTACCGTCCCAAGCTGCAAGGTCAGGCAATGCCTCTACCTCCAGACATGGGCCATCACGTTCAGGTGAGACAAGGCAAGACAGGCAAAATGGACCAATGGTCTGTTTCTCTATACAGCTGCTTCTAGGCAGGAGCAGGCAATAAAGTAATGGAGATGGATCTGAACAGGACATCTGGCACACCATTTTTTAATGCCAACCTACACAGCCTACACTGCCATGAAATAGCAATTAATCCTTAGGTCAGTTCTAGGGGAAAATGATAAAAGTTCCCTTGAACAGGGCCCAAAGGGGTTGGATATGGCCTACCACTGCTTTCCAGCCGCATTAACCTGTGATAAAGACTAACTTTATCTCCATAGGTAAGACAGGAAACTGTCCCAGGATATCTCCAATAAAGACCACTGAAGACAATAATCTAAACCAGGATTATGCAAACTTTTACACTCCAGATGTTTTGGATTTCAAACGTCATAGCCCCTAACCATTGGTTATTCTGGCTGAGACTTGTCCCAAACATCTGGTAGGGCTGGGTTACCTAAAGCTGGTCTAAACTGTGTAAGGCCTGGGTTCATGCACTACCTCCCCTTCCAAGTGGAAGAAAAAGAAATAAAATTTGAATTCTTTAGAATAAAACTGTCAGACTTGTCTCTGTCATGAATGACTCTGAGAAATGGTGGTTTCTGGGACATCATTGGGTACTCCACAATTTCCCCTTAATTTAAAAGCAAGCACTTTGTGTCTCCTCTTCACATCCAATGACAGTCTGAATGAGGCCAACCAATAAAGCTAAAAATGGATTTGGTCACAGATCTTGCAGAGCCAGCGTTGTCTTGACTAACAGGTATTCTGTGTTTTCCCCACCTAAAGGTAGTCAGTGGTGCGGGGGCACAATCAAATTGGAGCACACAATATTGGAAGCATAAGTGTTTCAGCATTAATAAGTCAATGAAAGAAGTTGGATGACACCTTACCCAGTGATTTTTCCTTGGTCTGGTTTGTTGTCCTCACCACTGGAAGACTTGCTCGTGTGCGGCTTCCTCGTGCGAATGGAGAAGGGGACTCTCCTTCAGCCATGATTTCCAGGGAGTCAGCAGATGCCGCTGACAAATATTCAGTCTGATCTCCCAAATTGGGCTGTGGGCTTTGAGAGAGCTTCGGGCTCCTTGTCTGTGAAATGAAAATTAATAAATCATTAATAGAGAGCAAATGCTTTTAGGAACATGAAGCTCTCATCCTCAGGGAAGGAGGGGGATCTCAGTCCCCCACTTTCTTTTGTAACCAAGATAAAGCATCTGTTGAGTTGCTGCATGAAGAATTAGACAAACCTACGTGTGCTCAAGGTGACTCTGGTGTCCGTTATTTACAGAAAATTGTTTCAGGGTATTCCATTAAGACTTTTATTGTGGTACGTCCAATGGCACAAAATTCATAGCTAACAAGTACCTGAGGCTAAAACATTATGAGTTAGATGGATGGCAATTCTATTCACTGCTGTTCTGACAACTGTTAGCTCTCTCTGTAACAACACCACAACGTAAGTATGCAGATATATATTCAACAAAATGCACATGCAATGAAATACCAACTAATCAAGCCAAATTTCCTTGAACTTGTTTTCATTATCAGTAGCATGAAGAGGCATTTGCCAGCCCAAAGGGGCAAACTTTTATTGTCACCACTGTTAGCCTGCACTCTGGAGTGTTTCACATTATAACGTGTTTAAACATTCTGTCCTTCATCCAATGGGCTCATGGGGACACATGTCATTCTCTCTCAAGCTCCCATCAGTATTTCAGCTTCACAACAACCTTGTGAGGGGTTGAACAAAGGCCACGCATTGAGCTTCAAGCCCATCTGCAGATCATGAACCCAGATCCCATTCATGGTTTACTCCAACCTGAGCAGAAGAATCCCCAGCTTTCCTCCCTACTAGCTTCTGCTTCCAGTTCTGTCTTTTCCATAAAGCATGGAGTGGCATGTGGAAAGAAAGAAAGAAAGAAAGAAAGAAAGAAAGAAAGAAAGAAAGAAGGCTCACATCTTAGCATGAAGTGCGGCTATGCACCACCAGGTGCATAAGAGGATTGGGATGCTGATATTTCTCCCACCCCTCCCCCTGATAAAGGAAGGCTTTAAGGTAGGAGTGTAGCACCTCTCAACTGGGCTCCAAACCTGTCTGAGAGGGGAGAAATGGCCCCACCTCTTCCAGTTGCCCCACCCATTTCTCTCTAACCAGGGGCCTTTGGGTGATTTCCTCACATTTATGCAGTCTTTTTTCCCCATTCTAAAAGGCTGTTAGCTTCTCCTAAGGCTTACTGACTTGCAACAAGAGCTTGTAGTTTAGCTATTTTGGCCCCGTCACCTTGCTTTTGGCCTTGTTTATCACTTGAATGCAGCACCCAAGAGCTTCTCTGAAATGGAATTCATCCCATGGGTTGAAAGAGGTTCTGCTCACACACACACACCCCGACCGAAAGACAAGGGGAAAAGTCTTTCGGGGATTGGAGGAGGCTGGCAGGAGAAGAGAATTTGTCTTCTGTGCCTGAGATTGACTTCAAAAACAACCCAAGTTATTTCTATGGGGGGCGGGTGGATGAGGTTGCCCATTTCCTTTGTTTTTCCAATCTTCAGGAAAATCTTCCAGGAGGATGGATACACAAGAGTGTATGGCAGGTGAGGGCATGTCATGAGCTGTCAGAAAGAATTTTGGCTATGTTGAAAGCTGTCAGGAACTCTGCAGCTGGAGAGGAATTTCAGGGTTTGGAAGCAAAGACAAATATTTCAGTAGAGGTTCACAGTAAGATTTGAAGGCCTGTTCTTGGCTATATTCACAGACAAATTCCAAACAAGCAGTATGTTTAAAAGTTTTGCTGCAAATACATCTTTTCATCCCTCAAGGTAACCACAGATGTAGTAGCTCTGAAGAATAGCTATACATGAATTAGAAAATAAAGGTGAAGATTTCCTTTCTTATATATGGTTTAAGGCCATAAATGGCTTGGAGTCCTGGATATCTCTGAGAGGAAAGAGGCTTCAGAACTACAAACATTACCAAATGACACTCTGAAGCCCTAAAACATAGCCCTGAGGACAGAAACTGGAATGCATCCAGAAAAGGGTAATCAAGATGGTAAGAGAACTAGAAGCCATCCTGTGAGGAATGGTTGAAATAACTGGGAGCATTTAACCCAGAGAAGATTAAGGGAACACTTGACTGCTTTCTTCAGATGTCTGAAGTACAGTCAGGCAGAAGCTGAAGGAAAGTTGTTCTCTTTTGCTCCGAAGGCCAGGACTAGAAATAATGAATGGAAACTGCAGGGAAGCCAATTTCAGTTGAACTCGAGGAGAGATTTCCTAACAGAAACAGCTGTCCATGAGGGGGTGTCTGTCTTGCAAGATGGTAGGTTCTTCTTCACTGTAGTGTTTAAGTGGAGTTTAGACCACCATCTGTCACAGATATAGCAGATCCTACAGGGAGCATAAGCTGGACTAGATAACCTCCAAGATTCCTTCCAACTCTATAACTGAAGAAGCTACTTGTATCCAATCACTCCAAGCCAGTCATTATCCATACTGAGCTTGTGCTGTTCTCCCAGTCCTTTGCCCTGCAGTGGGGTATAATCTTTCAGTCAATGCGGATGCTACAGCATAAGTCAGCCTGGATGCTGTAGCAGCAAAGCCATCTCTTGTGTCACATAATTTAGTGGATGCTCATTCATAAGCAAACAGTAAAACAATTAAGGCTGCAGTCCTATGCTCATTATACCCATTAAACTCTATGGAACTTACTTCTGAATAGATAAGTATAGGGTTGTAGTGTCAAGGCAAGAGAGGATGGGAACTTGAAGCTGTATCATAAATAACATCATAGTTTAAGATGCAAACAAACTGGAAAAGGTTCAAGGAGGGCAACAAAGATGATCCAGGGACAGGAAACAAAGCCCTATGAGGAAAGACTTGAAAGAATTTAGCATGTTTAGCCTTCAGAAGACTGAGGAGAGATACGACAGCACTTTTGTTACACAGAGGAGGGTCAGGATCTTTTCTCAATTATCCCAGAGATGGAATAATAGGTTCAACTTACAAGAAGCCAGGTTCTGGCTGAATATCAGGAAAAACTTTCCTGGAACATCAGGAAAAATAAATTGTTAGAGCACTATGACAATGGAACCAATGACCTAGGGAGCTTGTGAGCTGTTCCACACTGGAGGCATGGAAGATACAGTACAGTTAGACAGCCAACTGTTAGGATGCTTTAGCTTCCTGCACTGAGCAGTGGGTTGCACCCAACGGCCTTGTTGGCCCTTCAAACTCTATTATTCTATGATTCTTTGTTCAAACAAAACTACTGCATGCTGACAGCAAATGATGCCTTTAACACCAAGTGCATGATTTGGTCAAAACTCATGGATTAACCACCACTAATTTTTATGGGCCTGAAGACTCCTCCACCACTGTTTCTGGCCTTGAACTGTCTGTGCAAAGGCCTAGAGAATTCTCATGGAGACATCTCCAGACTTCTACTATGATGCATCATTTCTAATACTCAGTCCCATATGTACCGCCCAAGTCACAGGATTCTTTACAGTTCTTAGTCTCCTTTAAAACCCTGATTCATCTTTGTTAATTATGTTCTATATTTAGAAAGTTGGAAAATGCTGTTCAGATCAAGCCTGGATTTCAAAACAAAGAGAACCATATTTCTGACATCTGGCCTTTTTGGAACTTTTGGTAGTGCCGGTGCTGTGAGTGGGAAGGGGTGAGAAATGACACAGATCATGTTATACTCCCTTGGTGACCTTGGCTGAATGAGCAGTGTTAGCTTTTTATTAGGTTTTCATTAGGTTGCTGCAGAGTTCCAACCTCTTTCTCTCTCTCTGTTGCCAACTTGTCCAGTTGCTCACAAAATATAATAACTTTGAAATACCTAACGAGAAATCCAAAGCCTCTGGAGCTTTGCGCTTAGGAAAGGTTTGTATTAATATATTAGGTATTATCCTGGGTCCTGTAGTGACATGATTATGAAGCAGTATTTCTTCCCTCCTCTCCAGGAATTATAGCTAACATTTTTCTTCTTAGTGAATGGAGGCATGCTTTGAAGTGCCTCGATGAAGTCGAGCGTACAAGGTTGTAAACACCCCATGCTGGTGCACAGACATTAATGCCCAAGAAGTGACAAGTGGCCTAAAAAACAAAGACAAACTCAAGGAGGCAATCATTCTTTCATTCAATTACCTGAAGTGTGGCTTGTGGTTGGGAGGGCCTTGACTAAAGGGGCACCCAGCTTTGCTGACTCCTCTTTTTCCAGAAGCAGCCACATGAATGGGAAGGGCTGTAGCTTGGTGACAGAGCACCAGCCTTGCACAGAGAAGGTCCCTGGTTTGATCCTTGGCATCTCTAGGTGGGGCTGGAAAACTCTTGCCTGAAAGCCGGGAGAGCCACTGCTGCCTGTCCATGTCAGCAATACTAGGCTGGAGGGACCAAGAGTATGAGGCAATTTCCTATGTTCATACAATGCAGAAGATCTGGAATCTGATTTCCTAATATTTGAAGCAGCTCTGCTTTTGAATGGAGCAATGACAACATGTCTGGTTGTGCGTGTCTCTTCTGCTGTGATGTCACTGTTGTCAGTGGTGTAGCAGAGTCAGGTCTCATGGGAACCCAGTCCTGGTACTTCTTACTACCTCACAGGAATGCTGGCTTCATCTGTCACCACCCTCATATGACCCCAATCATCCCTGAGCTTTGCCACAGACCCGTGAAAAAGGGATTCCCCCTGCAAAATATATGTTCTGTGATGCAAAGCTTTTTTGGGATGGCTTGGCTTGAGCAAACAATGCAGTGGCTTTATACAAGACCTGAAGGAGATGAAAACTACTAGGAATGGTTTGTTGATATTGATCTAGCCAGCTACTTGGGGGTGCGGCTATGCAGATAGTCATAATAAGTGACTCCGTGTCAAAATTTACTGGTATATCACTGCTGCTTTTAATGCCTTTCTAATCCTGTCCTCACTCGATTGATTCCCCAAAGCTCTCCTTAAGCTACTATTAGCTTTCTGGTGTTCATGTACTTTTGTGTGTCTGGAGAAATAAAAGATACAGGCATGATTCAGGTAATTGTATTCTTTGCTGCTGGGAGGCTAATAGCAGCATGGGTGGGGAGACGAT